GTAGTACCTGAAATGTAAGTGGTATAAACTTACAGACCAGCAATCAAAAGCAAATACAATAAATTATCATATAGGCTTATCAATTTTATGACTGGCTACAAATGATTTAACTGGTGATTTCTTATCACTATTAAATTGATAGCTAAGAATATATCTCAGTGACTCTAGTTAAAAAATTTAGTGATCTGTAAAACTCACCAGGCAGCTGTGATAAGCCACTTAATCCGTTCAAATGAATCCTTTGTTAATGCCATTCACGCTGATTGAGGATCTCTATATGCAGCACTTTTTTTCTTTTTTTTTTTTTTTTTAAAAACAGCAGGTCTTCTCTTTCCTTCTGTTTGTGGATAGTCTACAAACACTGTTCAATACTGTTGCTGTTTTCCCCTCTGAACCTGTTTATATTAAAATACACATCGGATGTACAAACATGAATAATTATCAGATAACCAAAATATGTCTTAACATTTACATGTGTCATACTGAACAGCTTTATGTTTGCACTACATTACATTATTCCTATTCAGGCTGCATTTTATTTTATCAGCAATCCAATTATGTCAAGGGGACTATATATGAAATTACAGATCAACACCAAAAGGGTACAAGAAAAGGCCTAGAAAAGACATAGTCTTCACTCAGTGTTTGAAATGAATGAAGAGCATCTTGCATCATTATTTCTTAAAAAGCTGTCATACCCACCATTTTAGTTAAAGGCATTAAAAAAAAAAAGTAACACCTGTCTACAGTAAAGACCTAATGAACTTTAAAAATATAAGCAAGAAAATATTGGCTATACTTTCAAGACAGTGTCTTCTGCAAACTGGGCTGGACCAGTGTTTGTGTACACCTGAGAAAAGGAGGACTACTCTGAATGCAGAATAAGCCATATATGCATTTTCAGCTCAGGAGTTCTACACGTATGCATGGGTAGATGACAATCATTGGAAACGTTACCTAGATATTTTTTAGCTTTATTTTTAGACCACTTTTTCCACAGCTTTTACCAGGATTTAGGAAGCTGGAAGGCCCTAAGCGCAGGACTGACCAGAGGCCTCTACAGTCCAGACAATCAGATTTTGCATGCATAAATTAACTACACAGTGCATCTGTGACCTCTGACATAAGTCCAACAGCATACATGCAGGTTTATGTGCAAGTGTGCTGCACCAACCTTTTTGTAAGCTCACGCTTCACAAACCCAGAGAAATGGCCAGATCCTGTGCAAACTTTTACATCCCCCAAGTAAGAAAAAATCTGTAATCCTTTGGAGAAAGGCACATCTGGCAAATGATTCACAGCGGTTATTTCAAACTGAGGGCTTAAGAGGCTGGGCTCTTCCTAGGGTAGCATGGGTTATCACAGGCTTTTATTTTTTGTACTGCAGTCTTCCAGGTGCGGGGAGGTTAATTTTGAGGGGACTGAACGCTGACTAGAGTGAACTGACAGGCGTTCGCTTCCTTTGTAGAAGTCTCCTGAGTAAGCAAAGACACTTACTGAGATGGGAGCAAGGATGTGAACCTGCAGCAAACTGGCTGCTCTCTGATAGCTGTTCAGCAAGCATCTATCCTTTCTCTGTAAAACAAATGAGTGTACAGTTCCTGAAACATTACTGTCTTGCTTTCTATTATTTAGATAATATAACATCTTTCTAACCAGAACTAATCCATAAGTAACATTGACTACTATGTGTACACACAATACATCCATATCCCACAGTATGAAGAAGAGACTTTATAAGCTAATGAATAAATAGCCTAAGGGCAGCCAATCCATGCTGCAAGATCACACCCTACATGGACTGTACAGTATTTCACGCATCTGCCAAATTCTTCATCTCTTTCTGTGCCCCAGTTCCCCATCTGTAAAAAAAAAAAAAAAAAAAAAGAAAAAAAAGAAAAAAAAAAAGAAAAAAGTAACAACACTGCTAATAGTAACATAATATTCCAACAACATTCCACCCTCACTGATTTTTTACATTAATGATATAAATAATACAAGCAAGATTGTAAGGCAATAAAATACCGCAGGGACAGATTGCTTCAAATGGAAAATCTAAGCCAGTCATAAAGTGTTAGACTTCACAGAAATTTGTTCCTGTTGCCCACTATCCATCTCATTATTTAATTATCCAAACAGCTTCTGAAAATGAAATAGAAATTGAAATTTGGTACATTTGCTTTGTATTAGTAGAGAACTTTTTATTTTCAAATTAAAATCCATTTTGATCCAACCCACTGGCATGGTTTGAAATCATACTTAATACGTGAGTGGAAGACAAACCACTCTGCTTGCTATTTCATCACAGCTATTGAAAACGCATCGTTTTCTGAACAATCTTCCTATAGTTTGAAGTGTTCAGTAGCCAGTGCAATAATACAAGTACTACCAAGTGTTATTTAGGTTGATATATCAAATTGATCTCATCTTTTGTATTTTGTAGTAATCACAACAGTTACCTCAATAGAATACTTACCTAATTTGAAAGAAGATAAAATATCCTCAGGATAACACACTCAATACCACCAAAGGAATAGGTTTTATAGAAGTATCACCAAACCTCAGCTCATAAAATTCTCAGAAGCCAGAGGGGGAAAAGCTGGCACTGTAACATAACCTAGATGTTTAGTTTCTAGACAAGGACCAAGAAGGAAGACAATTTCACTCTTAGGGACTCTGATAAAATAAGACCACAGGACATGAGCCATAGTTTGAGGCAGACACACAGCTACAGTATAATGTTCTGTATGTTCTCTATATTCTCATCACATCCGAATAAACAAACATCATGTGTAACAAGACCATTGAAGTTACAAAGTCAAGGATTCAGAAGTTAGAAAATAAAAATTAGGGTTGTGTGCTCAATTTTAATGTGTTTCTTTTATGCGTATGATTAGGATAGTAATTTTAAGTGCAAGAACATATATGCTGTTTTCTATAGGACTTCTACCTCATTCATGATGGATAGATTCTATACTCTTCTTACCCTTTTTCTTAAGCCCTATTTTTTTTCTTTTACAGTGTCCTATGAAACTTTGCACTTTATACTGAATTCATACAACAGTAATGTTTCCCACAAGAACATTCCTTATCAGTAAAAAGAGAAAATTGTATTATCCTTGTTTTACCGTAGAGAACTGAGGAAACAAAACCAAAGCTAAAATCATTAAATATCAATTACTGTGAAAAAAGCCAAACTTTTATTTGCTACAGCTTTCAGTTGCTTTCTAGTATTAAGGCTGATGTCTCTATTGTTCATGCACTGGTGTTTTTCTGGAAAAGTACCCCTACAGGCAGCTACGGGTATACATTTTGACACAACTGCCCTGGCCAGCTGTTTTGCCAGACAAGGCTTCTGAGTTTGTACCTCTCTGAAGAGATTATGGACTATAACAGTTATCAGCAACACAGCCTGCATCAAGGTTTCATAGACTTTCTTTAGATGGATGCCATCAATTACGGTAGTCAAGAGCAGCAGAGAGAATATCAGTGACTGATCTTACCTTTGCTTCAGCTCAATGCTACTTTGAAGTCACTTACCTGGCCTAGAAACTCACATAAAGGCATACATTCTTTTATGTGACAATCTCATAATGCAGCATTACTTGCTGTTTCTTAACTATAACACACACAACTACCCTGCAGTTGGGCCATGCTACTTTGCAGCCAGCTGCTCAAGGTCAGTGAAATAGGTAGTACTGGGATAAGACTGGGCTCAAAGAGGACTTTTTTAAAATGCTGTCTTTCTGGTGCATCTTCCTTGTTAACACTTTCCCACTCTGCTTTGAGCTTGCTGACTTTTTTTTTTTAAATTTCCACACTGGGTTTACATAATTTGAAAACTGACTCAGTATCTTTTTATTATAGCAGTATTTCATTCACTAGGTATTCTCCTAACAGTGGTTTGCCTGCTTTCTTCGGTTTCTTCCAATATTTCTTTAAACTGGTATTGAAGAGCTCTCCTTTTAAGTACTATCTTCTTTATTCAGTGACAGTTATACTGTTTATCGTGCATCTGAATTTGTATTATTTCTGAGGACTGACCACTCTCTTCCACTGTAGTCTCACTTTCTCTGACCTTGTTGTCTCAGGGAATCCTGCACCTTTTGTTTTCACTTTTGTGTAATAAGTCTCTACTACCTTCTGTCTAACACCAGTTCTTCTAACGTTAAACAACTGTAGACCACATTTTTGTCCTTATTACAGTATTCCTGCATTAAAAATGTAGCACCGTTACAGTCAATGGGTATAGGAACCTAACAAATAAAATGCATCAGTTTAGTCATTTGTTTTATCCCTAAGATACTATTTTCTCTACATTGTCACCATCAATCTGGCTTGAAAATGGGGGATTTTTTTTCCCCCTTTCTCTCTATACCTGACAGGTTGCTCTCACTTATGCTTGAGATTTTAGAGCCAAGGTGATAATGTCTGTGATGATGTACAAGATCTTGAACACTGAACACATTGCTCTGCTCTTCCAGAGATGTGTTCTGGCTGCTATTACCAAACTTTTGGGAAAAGCAGCCTCTACTAACTAGTTTTCACAGGGTATTTCATAGCGGGTTGACAGTAGTCTCTACTCTCATGCCTGTAAAATCAGCTATTTTACACAACTCTGTGGTCAGCTTTATGCTCATGACAGGCTTTAGATTTGTATCTTGTGAGTAATCCTAAATAGACTTATGTACATATATTGTATTGTTGTATAGTTGGGCTTTTTCTATGTCACTTTAGTGCTTAGTAAAACCTGTGATGCATGATTTCCTATACAGCATTCATAAACACTATGGATAAGGCAAGAACATTGTGGCCAGCCTGGCCAACATACTTTCTAAGTTTGCACCATCTCAGAACAGCACTTTATTTGGCGAGACGTTATGTTGAACATGCAGTACTTTTGTCAATAGCAGCATTGATAATTAGTGATAAACTTTACATATTGACAACGTTTTACAAATCACACTTCCATTCAGAAAACCTTCATATCATGCTAAGCTATGTGGAAAGACAGGGAAGAAACATTTCTCATGGATTTACGTTTATGCAGTGGGCAGCACTTTGCCCTTTCTGTAATCAGCCGCTTCGCCGTCTCATTAAGAAAACCCTTGAGGGACAGGAAAGCGTTGCTGAAAGGGAAACTCCCGTTAGTGCCCGCAGCGCCCCGGGCAGCGGCGGGATGGCGGAGGGCCCGG